TATATATATATATATATATATATATATATATATATATATATATATATATATATCAGGGTTTTGTTTAGGGTTACTCCATGTAATTATGCATACTTTACGGTTTTTACTATAGTAAGTACATGTAACACAACAAGGACACTGTAAAATAAAGTGCTATTTTAAAACTCTATAAATAGTTAACAATATAAAAACGATGGTAAAATATATTTTGCACTGAAATCTGATGACGATTTATTCATGTTATATATCAGGGTTTTGTTTAGGGTTACTCCATGTAATTATGCATACTTTACGGTTTTTACTATAGTAAGTACATGTAACACAACAAGGACACTGTAAAATAAAGTGCTATTTTAAAACTCTATAAATAGTTAACAATATAAAAACGATGGTAAAATATATTTTGCACTGAAATCTGATGACGATTTATTCATGTTTGCTTTAGCTACTTTTTCAAAACAAAGCCTTGAATGCTGCAGTGTCCATATGGACCTCAGCGGACACTCCCTCTGAATGGGCCTTTACAGGAAGCTACAAGCTGCAAAAATCTTACACTACTGGATGATTGACAGCATAACAATACCCTAACCCTGTGGGGGTCCAGCGAGCAAGAGATACAGAGAACCAGACAGAGAGAAAGGAGGAGAACAGAAGGAGACAAAGGTCTGAATCTGTTCTAAAAAGGAGAAAGAAAAAACAGTAACAGAGAAAGCAAAGGCCTTGTGCACTCATGAGACGCTGACGCACTGAACAAGAGAAAATGAAAATTATATGTCCTCTCAGCAGCTGGCCTAGACCATCTGCACACACCTTTGCTTAATGCAGCTAAGTGCACTTGACGAGGATAGAAAACTGAGAGACGGTATGATTCAAAGGAGCGTTAAATGCCGTGAACAAGCGCTCTCCATAACTTTCAAACCAGAAGGTCAAACTAGGACAATGTGCAAGTCCCAGTTCTCAAAGGTTTTGTTTGTTTAAAGATATACGGAAGCAAATAGTGGGGAAATGTCAAACTGTTAGTGGAAAGCACACAGAACAAGCTTCGCCACTGAATAAAAATCATCTGAACCTTGCTGTTGCTTTCTCTGTTAGATACCCAAACAATTCTAAATACTGTGATGCACACCTTCACATAACAGACAAATTAATTATTTAATAAAAAATAAAGAGAATTAAATAATATTTTGGGCAAATTAATTGGATAATATTTTTTAAATAATTAAAAGAATTTGCACATTTACTATAAAAATTCAAATGATTTCCCCCCCAGTAGTCCATGAGCAATACTGCCGTATACAATTTACTTTGTACTTTCCTCCTTGTTCTTTTTTTTTTAGATTGCGAGGGAAATAAAATCATCGTTGGAAGCTTGACCATCACAGCCGTTGTTTCAAGGCACGGTAAAATGGGCTAACAAATCATGCATCTGACAATAATGTTGCTATGACTGAATCACTATGTGGATCCATATGTCAAATCCAGACCATTGCCGTGAAAGCTCTGCCAAAATAAAGATGACACAGATGCAGCCAATCTATCAAATCCTTTTCATCATACACAGGAAATGCTGAGCACTGGCCACTTTGGCAAAAGCAAAGGAGAAGCGACTCAAATAAATTTCTCCAATGATTACTGCCACAATATAAAAAATGGGAGCTATCATTAATATTGTGCTAATGCTTGACTATAATTCATCTGCTTGGAGCTTAGAATAATTGTTCTGACACTCGGACAGAGACGCATAAATCCTTCGCTCTCTTCCGAAAGAGTGTTTGGCAGTGAACCAGTCCTGAAGCGGAGCACTGGCATTTTAGACCTAAACCAACATCAAGAGGCTTCGGCCTCGCATCGAGGCCTGACGTTTAAAATGGAACCTGCTGCTTTGAGGAGATTCAACTTTGGTCCCGTCGTGTCCATTTACCTAAATGTCACCCAGCCGTTCACTTTTCCTACCAGCAGAAACCAATGTGCTCTTCTGCATAGACTCGACTGTGTCCTTGTTATTTACCTTAATGTGTGTAAATATAGAGACATTACTGCTCACATAGGCCTGTTCATTCAAGACATGCAAAGGTCGAGCACTGGATGATTTTATACCATGTAACACTAGAGTGCTTTAATTCGAGGTTTCTCGCAGGCATATAACATATAATTAAAATATTAATGGTAAAACGCTCTTTTTCAGGACAGAAATGTGATATAGACGATACATGATAGAGGTATAAGAAGCCATGCTCTTTCTGAACCTCTGTATGGCTCCTCAATTCATGATATCTCATTACGTCCATTTAAATAAAGGTTAGCTCAAATAAAACTGCGTAACTTATTCAGTCAGCGTTTATTGCGTTGCAGTAAGTACCTGCAAAATGTGCTCAAATATTTTAATACGATTTCTGACTGAAAACAACACAAAACACAATAGCGAGTCATCTCTAAATGCTAGCTAATTTACACGCACACATATGTGTAGCTACTGTACAAAATGTTTGCTCATTTTGCAAACATACAGGTTATTTATAAACTCTAAAGGTTAGTGTATAGTTGAATCAAAGTGTCAAATTCTATCATTACGCGCGAGCGTTTATTTGTGTCTGACGCATCAGGAGTGCGCGCGTGGTCTATAATCCATAAGCATAAAACATCAATAAAAAACACCAATAAATAAACCTCGTTACGTGCCAGAGGTGACGGAGATATCCGTGCCGAGTCCTCCTGCAGCATATCCAAACCATCATAAAAACCCTCGGCTCCATACCTTGCTGCGTTTCCTCCTGTTCTTCAGTGAATCTCGTTCATTCTTCAGTCCTCCAGTCGTTTATCTGTCGGTTTCTCCTTCTTCGTCCGGATGCATGCAGATTAAAAACGAATAGCCCGGAGCAGTCCAGACAATTAACGGAGGGAGACAATTCGTGATAAAGACGCACACAACGACGAAAAACAATCCGACATGTTAAGTTACTACTCAAATGACGGCACTCGCGTCAAAATCCTAACAAAACAACAACTCGCATTGTCATGCGGTGTTTGACACTGATAATGAGTCCACACGAGACGCGAATGAGCGAATAAAATATCGTCCGCAGTCCCGTTTTCAGCACTGAGCATAACGCGGAGCGTCTCCCCAAATCCAAGAAGCAAAACACAGACGTGCAGAAACGTCAGGAGTGGACGCTGGAAAGCCCGTAAGTGTTCATATAGGATTCCTTGTCGTATTTAACACACACACATTAGTGCAAAAATGAAAGGTTGTGGTGTCGACCCATGTGTCCTCCCGCCTGGAAACCAGCAGTCGCTCTGACTCCCTCCGTCTGAAGAAGCGTAACGTCTATATGTATCTCTCTCTCACAGCACACCGACTGACTTTTTATCAGAACCCTATCTAAATTAATAAACCATATCCAGGTTTATTAATTAAACCATATCCAGGTTTATTAATTTGCACCCTTGCGTGACCGTGCGCAAAATGACAATGTATTATTGATCAGTCTCAAAGGCTGATTCATTGACTGATTCAACCTGGTAAATAATTAAAGACTTGCTTGCATGCAGCTTATTTTTAAGGGCTGCTATATTTAAACTAATACTGTAGCTGTTGTGAATATGAAGGTCTCCTGACTGATCCGACAAATGTCTTGAAGTCTGCTGTCCAGCATGGTGTGGTGGGGTGATACTGTGTGATTATTCAGATGGCTTTCGGTGTGGGACGCCTATTAGTTGAGCGGGATTGCGTGTATATGAAAGGGGCGGTGCTTGTGTCGGGGGAGTGGTTTGTCACAGGTGATAACAATCCTCAAATCTGCACTCCTTCTAGACCAGGGGTGCCCAAACTCGGTCCTGAAGAGTTTAGCTCCAACCCCAGTCAAACACACCTGATCCAGCTAATCAAGCTCTTACTAGGCATACTAGAAACTTGAAGGCAGGTGTGTTGAGGTAAGTTGGAGCTAAACTCTGCAGGACACCGGCCCGCCAGGACAGAGTTTGGGCACCCCTGTTCTAGACAGACAAACATCTTTAAAAAAAAAAAAAAAAGGCTATTTGACTTTTTTCTTTTTTTCCCCTCACAAAACATATGCTTAAAAATCACTTGTTAAACTACTGTTGCAAAGGGTTAGTTAGCCAATATTTATTAAGAACACAGATTTTAAAATAATAATCACAATGCAGGTGTACTACACATTACTATGGATGTATAGTAATTAATTATACATGTAACACAGAGACTGTAAAGTGCTACATTATCTCTTTGAAATCAATTTTAATCAAGAGTCACTAGTCTAATCATTACTGAGAGATGTGGTCAATAATGATTAAATCTATTTTAAAAAAATTAATTCACACACATATGAGTTATACAGTATATAGGCTGCATATACCAATTACAGTTGGCCTATGCCAGTGTCCTCTGTGACAGCCTGTTTCGTTAAGATTCAGTGTTGACCTTAAGGGATTTGGTTAGTGCTCTATTTGAAGGGCAGTCATGATCACATTAACTGTCAAATCAGAGGAAACTGGCTCAAAGTCAACAGGATAGCCTACATTTTCCTTTCATTACCAAATGACTATTTTCAATAGTTCTGGCCAGAGCAATGGACCATTTTCCCTGACATGAGAGCAGCAATATGTGCTCAGACTTTTGATTTTCTTAGATAATCTATGAGGATTTAATGTCCTCTCTGCTTCCTATTACATTTGCCATCCCAATTTCATAAGCACACACTCATATGTATTTTTGGCTATGTATTCAACTAATAACACACAAACAAAACTGATGTTGTTTAGATTATCAGGTAATCACAGTCATGCTGATATTATTATTGCCTTTTAAAAACAGTTCAGTAAGTTAAATTAAAGTAATATTGTGTATAACTTACATTTTAGTCATCATATCACCAGTAACTCTATCTATTCCAGAATCAATCAGTGTTTGAATGAATCGACTGAGTGAATGATACAGTGAGTCACTTATAACCTTTCACATTCCCAATTCATATACAACTGTTTCTTGTTGTTAAAATGTAGCGTATAGGGTATAGTAGCGAAGTAGTACTATCCTACAGTAATATTCATTAGATAATAATATAATATATATATTAAGCAGCAACTCCACTGTGAAATGCTGACTTGACCATTTGCATTGTAAAACTAATCGCTCAGCTGCATATTCCAGACATGTTTATATGTTTGTGACCTTGCATCCTGCTGTTCCTAAAGAGTGGGCTCCAAAATAGGATGGAAAACGTCTCGGGTTACGTATGTAACCCTAGTTCCTCGAGGGAACGAGACGCTGCGTCGAAAAACGCTAGGGGAACGCCGTTCAGCGTGACGGGCTCTGAATCTCGTGTGTAATCAGACCAACAGCTGGGCGAGACGTCACGGCGGGTGACGTAATGACCAGGAGGCTATAAAAGCACGTGCGGTGAGACCAGCGTCAGCTCAAGGAGTGAAGCAAGCGCTGGCAGGGACGCCGGAAGGATGGCACCGAGACGCAGCGTCTCGTTCCCTCGAGGAACTAGGGTTACATACGTAACC